TCTTAAGTCCCAAACTAAAACAATCATTGTATAAGATATTAAACAAATCAATTTATTACACAAACAATGAAATGTTATATTATTAAATTATATATTATTATGTAAAATATATAACACATTCTACACTGGAGAAACATTTTCCCGGAAGATACATATTACGGATTTTCTTGAGGTTTTAAAGATTCAGCCCCTTATTTTTACCCGGGACTCAATTAGAAATCTTAAAATGTAAACAAATCTTTTTACACTTAAAAAATTTAAATATTACAATTACTCGAGTTACTTTTTTCAAAACTTCTGGATTCCTCCTGCGTCGGTTTTTGCTGAGTCGAAATTGCTGACGTTTCGCCAATCATCCTGTTGGCTTCTTGAGAGCTGACTAAGTGAAACTGAAGAAGGCAACAGGATGATTGGCGAAACGTCAGCAATGTCGACTCAGCAAAAACCGAAGCAGGAGTATTACAGTAGCCTGTCTAAATTTCTTTTAATAATTCAGCAAAAAAGAATCTATGAGTGAATAATATAAACAGATGCGTGACAGAAGATATGTGTGTGATCGACAAGACTCGCGAGATTTTTCTCTTGCATTATAGAAGCCTGTTTTGCAGCAGTGCTTCCCCAGGCTATACCACATATATATATATATATATATATATATATATATATATATATATATATATATATATATATATATATATATATATATATATATATATATATATATATATATATATATATATATATATATATATATATATATATATATATATATATTCTCACGTATTGATTCACGGATGGAAAAATGTGATGACACTGTATTCCGGGATATCATCCGTTCGCTCGTTGAACTCCGACTGGAATCCTGCATCCGACTGGAATCCTGCAAATCTTGCATCCGACTGGAATCCTGCAGACGTTTCGCCAAAATCTCACTTGGCATCCTCAACGCTCGCGCTCCGAAAACACTTCGGAGCGCGAGCGTTGAGGATGCCAAGTGAGATTTTGGCGAAACGTCTGCAGGATTCCAGTCGGATGCAAGATTTGCAGGATTCCAGTCGGATGCAGGATTCCAGTCGGAGTTCAACGAGCGAACGGATGATATCCCGGAATACAGTGTCATCACATTTTTCCATCCGTGAATCAATACGTGAGAATATCATACACCTTTACGGGAAGGAGATCTTTACAGCCACCAAGTGTTATGAAAAACTAAGACAAAGGAGGGTTATTTCGCTGTGCAACTTGAATTTTCTTAAAAGCTGCCGCAACCAGAACTTGCTGCCAGTGTTCGAAGTGTTTTCGGAGCGCGAGCGTTGAGGATGCCAAGTGAGATTTTGGCGAAACGTCTGCAGGATTCCAGTCGGATGCAAGATTTGCAGGATTCCAGTCGGATGCAGGATTCCAGTCGGAGTTCAACGAGCGAACGGATGATATCCCGGAATACAGTGTCATCATATATATATATATATATATATATATATATATATATATATACACTTTTAGTACTTCAATGCAAACATGACAATCTGGGTGCTGTTTGTTGCATGGTTGGATGGTCGTTGTGTCATACGGATAAGCAAAAGAAATTTTGATAGCTTGGCAACCCTTTTACATTTAGTCCGTCCGCAACTACTTTTCAATTAAAACTGAACATATTGCACCAGTTACTTTACTTCAGTTTGTCAGCCTTACCCAAACCTCGCATATTATAGCACTTTACAATATCAAAATATTTCAACATGTTGCAAGACAGGATCAGATATATGCTCATAAGGTTCATTTTACTAAAACTCAATTTGACCTAAATTAGGACGCCCTATATATTTGCGTATATATATATTCAAACTGCTGCATCCTGTAGCTTGAATCCCGTCTAAGTGAAGAGGATGATAGCGAAAATTATAGGCGTGCGATATAACACTATCAATTATCAGATAATATTGTCGCAGGACAGTAATATATATGGAATTTACTGCTTCGCCTAACTAACGCGATATTAATGAACTTACGACGTTAATATCGGAATGGTTTTGTCCGGCATTTCTCCATTTTTTTTATGTAGGACCATTAGATTGCGTATCAGGAATTTAATAACTAAATAGGAAAAACATTATGAAGACACTACAAAACTAACAGTAAATTTGAGAAAAGCATTTCGGGTTAAAGTAAGGTATTAGATATCAAGACCTGGCTCTATAAATTACAGGTAAAAAAATGAATAGGAGATGAAGCGGTTCAAATTTTTCTGAATGTTTTGTAAAATTTTTCAAAATATCGCTTGAAGTCGGGATTGCAGAGAACTATTTCATAATTCTGGTGGAATTGTGGACAAAACATTGAAAATTAAATTATTCGCAAAACAAACAGGTATGATTATAATTATTAAACCGTAATGCCAGTTATGTCGGTTCTATGTCGTTGTCCGTTTAAATCCGAACTTATCGAATTTGCGTTTCCGCTCGGCCGTGAAATATTTCCCGACTTTTTTAAACGAAAAATGACACTTGACTTGATCCGTGAATGTGCGGCTACGTCCGCTTAGACTTGCTAATGCCCAGTTCACAGCCGCAAAACCCAAACACGAAGAGTAAATCAAAATTATAAACGCGCTACTGAACTACGAGCATCGCTTACACGTTTATTGGTATCGTGTAATGGTATTGATAAACGCCATTTGTTCCTGACAGGTCACATATTAAATTAAAGCAAATAACGTTAATATTTAGATATGCAAATATCAGCGATATAATTGCAGGCCGTTTCCTAACCTCCTTTGCAAACTAACAGGGATGAATTATAAATCATTTTTTAATTTATTTTTTTTTATGTGATCATTTTTATTAACATAATCCTTTTCATTTTTACATTTTTCACATTTTACAACGCTAAAGGTCATCATTCTTCTTAACAAAAGGTAAATTATTTTCTCTACTTCCTACTCTGAAATTCCTAATTAAGTACTGATAAGACGTTGTTTCTTGTACCCTGTTTCTGACAGGTCATATATTAAATTAAAATGAATAACTTTAATATTTAAATATGCAACATGATAGCAATCTGTTTCGTAATCTCTTTTGTAAACTAAAAGGGATAAATTCTAATCCATTTTTTAAATTTGCTTATATTTATTTATGATACTAATACTAATTTTTATGAACATTAAGGATTATAAAAATTCAAAGAGAAAGACGATTACAATCCAATTTATGGTCCATAGTCAATTAACCCAGATAATTATTGTGTGTATTGTTAACTTTTTAATAACAATATGTTACAATTATTTTATTTTACATTTCTTATACTTTATAAGGCTAAAAGTCGTCATTTCTCTTAAGAACTAACGAGCGGTAATAGTAAGTAATGCAAAAAGTGTGGTAAACGGCAAAGTTATTTTTTTCTACTTCCTAATCTGAAATACCTAATTAAGCACTGATAAGGCCTTGTTCCTGACAAATATCAGCAATATAATTTCTTGTTTCATTACCTCCTTTTTTGTATTTATTTATGATAGCAATAATAGTAATTTTTCTGAACATTATATAATCTTTTTCCATTAACCCACAGGATTATTGTGTGTATTGTCAATTTTTTACCCATTGTATTTTCATTGGAGTAATTTTAATAAAAGTCTAAGTCATCACTTCGCTTAAGAAATAAAAATAGGTATTTTTTTCTACTTCCTGCTATGAAATACATATACAATATCAATATAATTGCATTCTGTTTCCTAACCTCCTTTGTAAACTAAATGCGACAAATTCTAATAAATTTTTTAAAAGCTGTTATGACACTTGTGATTAAATTAAACTAAATTAAATTAAAAGAGGATTACACTCCCATTTGTAGACCACAATCCTGTATATTGTTATTTTAACTATCGCTGTGCACAGTAAAAATGATAACAACAACAACAAACATAAGATCTATTCCAATCGGCGACCAAAGTACCATTGACTAAAGTATTATTTTATTGGTGAATATCGTTAAAGTAATTTTTATTGATTTTTGCGAACAGAAATCAAAAGAATAAAATAATTTAGGCAAGAAAAAAAATCCATTTTACTCATTTCAAAAACATTATTTATTATTTTCTTATTACGATGGCTGCCTTTTATATTTCGAGATTTTCTTAAACTAGTCCTGTCATCTGGCGACTAACACTTTTATAGAGAAGATTGACATTTTGAGGATAGGTTTACTCAGTTAGGTTTTGGCGAAAGAGTGTTGTTTGTGTTTTTCGTGATAAATTAAAAAAAAATGTGTTTTTTATTACAAATACCGAAATATATAAGGTGGCCTTCGTATCATCATTTTTTAGGTACCTCACGGGGGCCATTGAACTCGCTGATTTATTGGGATGCTAATTTTTTTATTTAAAAGCCAAAACTTAATTTTGAAAATAAAAATATATGCGAATGTATTTGATAGCTTACAATTTCGTCTTCGAATTCATTAATTTTACGCCCCGTACATGTGAGAATCTATTTTTTTCCGACCGTGGGCGCTGGAACGAAACTTAAATACACGGATTTCTTCGAAACACTGATAACATACAAAAGTCCGCCGACGTAAAGAAAAAAAAACCCTGGCCAGCTGATTTCCGACTGAAAGAAAATTGAATAAGAGGTCCGTTTCGGGTTCGGTCTTCGAAATTTCCGAACGCAAAATTAATTCATTAATTAAATTCTGGAACCCTAATAGCTCTACAATAGGAATGTCAAAGTAAAACAATTAAACGGGAAATCTTATCTCGATCAAACTCGGTCGTGGACGAGTTTTCAGCCGACCAGAATCTTTGTTTTCCTTTAAAAACACGCCTTAATTTTCGTAAAAGTTCGTTAAACCGTTATCTGGCTATAATGGAGTAATTAAATTTATTCTGCAACCTTTTATTGTAAACTTTATCTGATTACTCGTCCCAACACGGAGATTTACCAATAGATTAAAATCAAACTTATTCTAATTTGTCTAAAAGACAATTTTGGACTTACCGATACGAAATTGTTGCTTCAGATGCAAGACCCAGTTAAGGCAATTCAGTTTGTCACCATCAGATGCCGGTGGGTAAAATATTTAGGCAGTCCATAGACTCTTTAACATGAAAAAAAAAACGTTATTATAATTTCACATTGGAAACCTCTTGCGATGAGAGGGTGGCCAACTTAAAGGCCATATTTAAAAATATTACGCACAAAACCAAGTTCTTTAGTTTTAATCAGCCACGACTTGAGTTTATTTATTTATTTATTATTATTTATTCCTAAATTCAACGGGTAACATATTAAATATTGGAAATAATACTGTCATTGTTTTGTGCGTGATATTTTGTATTGCTCTGTGCAAGTATTTTTGAATTATCTGGGAAAATCTTATATACAATTTACTAATTTATAATAAATGGCATCAGTAAATAAATCTATACTAGAATAAAACTTGTCTTCTGGAGAGTACGGCTTTTTTAAGGTATATTTCGACTGATTTCGAGACATGCGGACGATAATTGTCATATAATAAAATGACCTTGTTTGTCATATTCGGGCTATTTTGCAGTGTAGTTGATAACGTGCTCTTGTAATAGTTTCATTTAGTTTAAACGGCTAAATCGCACCGCGTTGATCCCACACAATACATAGCCGGAGCTTAGATCCAAGACTTTCTTCGTTTAGTGTTGTCGTAATAAATCCACTGTTCGTCTCCAGTGACAGTAAGCAGTGAAGCAGTAAATCACAAATCAAAAATCGCTTTTGTTGTTTATGTTCTGAAAAACAATTAACAGTTGTTTTCGCGTGAAATTACTCCTGTAGGTAAAAAAATTCTATACCACTAGCGCCATCTGTTATCAAAACGCTACGAACTAAGTCTAACATAGATAAAAATGTGTATAGATGTAATAGTATGAAAATAGTATAAATTGAAATATATATTATTATTTAAAAAAATCTTATTCACAATCCACCGCCTGTATTCCCTTTTGCAAGAAAGGGAGTTTCACATTTTAAAACTAGTGTTATGCCTTGTCACAAAAAGTAACAAATATTAAATTACACCTACAAATATTGTTTCCAATTTCATATTCATTTATTATCGGTTTGCTTATTCATAAGGGAAATCTAAATATAAAACTCCTCTTCACTAATCATTTTGTTCAAAGCTGTTATGCGAGAACGCAACATTTTACCGATGACCACACAGTTTCGCTGGTGAATTTAACTTACCGTGAAACTTTGTGATTGGTTTGCATGCATCGTCATTCTTTATTATGCTTTCATTTATTTCAAATGAGGAGAACATAAAAATTATTGCAGCTGTGTTTTTAACATATTTTATTAACACTGACGGTACATTGTTAATGTCAATAAAATTGTATATATTTCTTCTAACCAAACATCTACGGTTAAATGATTTGATTTAATCATATTGATATTTAACCCCTAATTTTATATTGCAGATATTGAAAAATATTGAATACTAGTGGGAAAGGTGATGATGCATACCTAAGTGCATTTTTGGAATTAACTTTAAAAAAATTTTGAGGAACATTCACTGTGAGGACGGTAAGAAGCCTTACAAAATACTGGCCAGGTATTAGAAATATTTCATAAGCAGTTTATTGCTTCCATGGAAAATTATGATAGCGTAGATCCCTGTGATTATAAACTTTCGTTCCAGCTTTCTAGCCGATCAGTTTCAGTGTGCTAATATATAACGCAATAACAGTTTATTTTGCCGCAAATACTAAACCGTAACTGTAAAAGCTTAACCTTTACTGTACTTGGATATGTGACCCTCACTGATGCAGGCTACCCAAGTGCGTTATCCTCTTGTAGAGGTTTGCAGGGACTAAATTGGGAACTAATTACTTTTACTTCATAAGGAGTTGAATTTACGTCCTACGGAGTCTAGAGATTAACATTCCCAAACTCTAGAAGGGCAGGGTTTCACCCGCTCGATACTGGATGAGAAAATTGCACGGATCACATCTGATGCGTATGTAAACTAGTTTGCCTTTGCATTTTTATGTTAACAGGCTAAACAGCTTATTAGCATTCTTTCAAACTTTCAGATAAGGTTCGTTAGCTCGACTAATAAATACGAAACCAAAAATAGATTCATTATTTCGCAGTAAATATTACCATTAATTACCATTTAAATGAAATTTGCATCGCATATTTTAATACAATTATACTAGTTATTTTGTTAAACACTTTGAGTTTCTTGATTGCAGGTGACTAAAGTAAGAGGTATAGGAAGCAAAGTAACCATTTTAAATAGGTAATGAACATACTTTTTACAAAGCTTCCAGATTCCTCCTGCGTCGGCTTTTGCTGAGTCGAAATTGCTGACGATTCGCCAAACATCCTGTTGGCTTCTTTAGAGCTTGACTGAAACCGACGCAGGAGGAATCCAGAAGCTTTGTAAAAAGTATTACAGTAGCCTGTGGCAGTGGAAAAATTAGGTAATGAACATGATAAAAATGAATGATTTTAATTAAAGTTGAAGTTTTGCTGGTTAGCAATTCGAAGAAGCGTTTTCTCTGTCTAGTATTTAATAGACTTTGGACAAGAGACAGAAAACTGATATGGAAAACGTTGCAGATTTTGAATTTTGAGTGGGAAAAGCAGTGCCTTCGAGCACAATACTTAAAAAATATAACCAGAAGATATTTTTTATCTTGATGAGATCTGAAAGTAGTAAAGTCTGTTCATAGATATAAAAAAGTGATTAACTGATACGAATTAAGAAAAGATCAAGGCAAGCTGTAAGAATGAAATATGGCCGAACAGGTCCGTACTTTGCTTAGAATTTAATTATTTGCGGTTTTGTTAGGAAAGATACTAAACAATATTTATATATTTATGTGTAAATGTTTAAATCTAAAGTAAAATTACAAACTATTTTTATTACCTACTTAAATTACTTAAAATTATTCACATAATATATCAATATCATTATCGCTATCATCGCCTGTTCTAATTATTATTTATTCTATATTATTTGCAATATGGATATACGATTGTTCTGCTTTTTCTATATGTTTAACAGAATTTGCCCAACTTTGTGGAGGGATGTTAAAAACTTCGGTTTCTATAAGTTTGAGGATATTGGAGTTAACACGGGGAAAAACATTGTTACGATGAACGGCAGATTTCAGTTGGTGCCAAACATGTTCAATGGGATTAAATAATAATTAAAACTGTATCCCCTAGATTTTTTGCATAATTATCTCAGACGTATTCCTTTTGTAGGTTCACGCTTTGTAGAACCGCAATTAATTGCTGTTTGCTATAATCTTCATGAAAATAAATATCGTTATTATACATGTAGTTTTGGATTGTTGCTTTTGTGTCACATGAGGAAGGGGTTTTAGTCAACTGTCTACTGTGAAAACTTGCATTGTCCATTACAATGACGCTATTAGGAAGAATGTTTGGAACTAGTTTGTTTTTAAACCAACTTTCAAATAAATCAGCGGTGGTGTCTTCATGGTAATCCAGAGAAGGATCTTTAATATTTTTCGCAGATAGAAAACTCCATTTGGAATCCAACCATCTTTAGTGCCAGCATGCAAAATAGTTATTCTTTTACCTCTTTTTGATGGAGCGTTTGTATCTTATCAGGAACTTATTAGTTGAGTCAACCCAACCCTTTTCCGGGGTATCATAAGTGTCGAACCAGGTTTCATCCAAGTAAATAATTATCCTTTGCTGTACTCTGTAAATTCAAATTTTTTCTAATTCTAAAAGATTCCATTAAAACTTGCCTATTGTCCATATTTTTAAATCTAAAACCCATGTGTTGAATACACTTCCATAAGGTAGCTGCCACATTTAACACCGGTTCCATCTTTTTCAAACCTCCCAATTAAGATATGTAGGAACGCTTTGTTCCTCGTATAACTGGTAAATTTTACGCCGTATTATATCTTGATCACTTTCATCTACACTCGAGAAAATGTCAGCATCGCTTCTTTTTTTCCTCGCTGAAATGGGAATGTGGCCGTTTCTTTTTAAGATGCTTGCTTGCTGGCACCACGTTCAATGAGAATCAAATAAACATTGTTTATAACTTCCTTGGTCTCAATAAAATAGTGTTTTCTACATTTGGGCGCGAGCACCTCCTGAGATATACTAGACTCGCATATATTTTGCATAATTCGCACACGATTCAACACACGCTGTATTACACACGAAATAAGAATGATTACTAATAAACTTAAACTAAGTAGTATATCAAACCAAAGAATATTAAACACAGGTACGTATAAAATTATTTTGTATTACGGACCACAATTTTACCTGAATTTAAATTCCGAAACTTTAGGTAATAATCTTGTTGCATTGTATGTTAATGACCACCCTTGGATAATCCCATTGAAAAGCAATTGGTCACTTTCTCATATCTATAAACTGACCATACCACAAATTATGTCAGGCTCGTCAACTAATCAACTTTGGCAAATTATTGAATTATATAAATTATTACATAAATTATAATTAATAAATTAAAGCAAATTTTCATTTTAAATTTCGTTTAAATTACGTAGCCAAAAATATTAGCTAGTTAGTAATATCAGCCTGAAGTGTTATGCGTTGTCCTGGCATTTGAAGTTTATTCTAAAGCTATTTATAACTTCCCTTCTAGTTCTCGACGCGAATTATCGATAAAAATAGCCACCCATAATGCGGACCAGCACGTAATCGCAAAATTGTTTTAACAATATAGCGCTAAATAAATCGTTTTATATAAATCACCGTAACATAAGCGTTCTTACAAATTAGGACCACTTTGTCTAATTTTCCCAACGCATAATGTCTCTTATCAGAAGTTAAATTCAGTTAAACATTGTGCCCCACCTAAGGGAAAAATATGGGGAAGCACAACACATTTCGCTTATAATTTAGACAAATGTGTCGCGAGTCCTATAACAAGCAGTGTACGAAACTGCTTTTTATTCTGTTGCGGATAATTAAATTACCAGGATAATTGAAAGCTTCCTTGGCCATCCGTAATTAAATGTGGCGATTATTTTTTGGAACTACCTGAGCGCTTTATCGTCGGATTGTTGTGAGTGTTTCATTGATTTATTTAAATAATACTCTAGAAACTCGCATCTACATACCGAATGGAATTTCATAATATGATGATGGTTTATTAAAATTAGATCAGCACGTTTTAAAATGTGGTTTTAATAATATTTTTCTATTTAATGGTTAAAAAATACGCCAAAGTTTATGCAACAAATTAAAATAAATTCACCGAGTAAATTGCATTTTATAAGCTTTTGCAGATTCACCAGGCACGTAATGTTCGATTCGTAAATATAGCTGCAACATTTTAAAGGTAACGAATTAGATTGATTAAATTAATTTGCAACCAATCAGACCACTGAATTTAAAAAAAAAATATAGTTGTTTTTGCAACTTTTATTGTTAAACGCTTTGGCGCTAAATCTATTTTTTGTTATATTTCAACGTTTCGGTTCGAATGTAACGCCAACAATTGACAAATATTAATAAAATAAAGTAGAATAATAAGATTATTCTCTTAATAACCATTGGAAATACACGAAGACTTAAACGTTGAGACATAATTTAAAATAAATGCAACGAAACTTCAATTCAATTCAATTCAATTCTATTCAAAATTTTCGGATGAAGTTGAACACGTGAGCCCCCCAGTTGTAATTTTTGGTGTAACAAAAATATTGAAAAAAAATAATAATTTGGAGATGGCGCCACTCAATACTAATTGTGGTACGATTAGTTACAATAATATAAAAACACTAATATATATAAAAATATAATAAGCGGGAAGAGTAACTAGAGTGACATAATCTTTTGCTAATTTTGCTGACTTCGATATACACCTTGCTTCTCTCGGATTTGTAAGCTATAGCTTCATCCAATAGAGTTATTTACTTTTAAATAGCTAATAATAATAATAAAACTTTTTTTATGACATTATTTTTTTATCCAAATTATTTCAAAGTAAACAATAACATACAAATAATGAAGAGAAGACATTTTAGGACGAAATACCAACGAACGAATGTTTCCAAGTTATTGTTGATATATAATGATAAGATAATTAATGTAATTACATTAACTCATTAAATAACTTAAATTCTCACAACAACATTAATTAATTTATGGTCATTTTTTGCGAAAATCTGAACTTTTAGTTCTTATTTATTCTTTCACTCAACCACAAATCGGACTTCTAAAATACTATTCACCAAATAGCATAGTTTCCAAGATACCGAGTGTTTAGTATTTTTTAAAAAAGGCTTATGCGAAAATCCTTTATCTCATTTCATCATTTTCTTTGGTGTTAATTTAGTAGAACTAAATTTTAATGATTTTTATTTTTCGCTCCAAAACAAGTCAAGCGTCATAGGGGTTCAACTTTTAGTGGCAAAGTAAATGACAAAAATTGCTAAAATGTCAGTGGCGTACATCTCTTTGACAATACTATACTCGTTACGATACCTCCCGCCGCAATTTTGAAACAGCTGAACCAAAACTAGCACTTTGTCATTATAAATGAAGTCAAATTTCAACCAAATTTTACAACAAATGTTTAAAATATTGTAAAAATTCATTAATTTTTTGTAACTGTGTGTTAAGTGTGTTTGTTCTATCTATCCATCTTCTCTATCTGACTCGCCCGTAAAACGATTAAAAATTCCCATCAAATGTTTTAAAATACATTTGGTTCGTATATTTTCCGCCATAGTTCCATGTCTTCGTGAAATGCAGTGTGTAAATCAATGCGGCGGTTTTTTCCAACATCGGAGACCAAAGCAAAACGGAAAACAAAAAATGGCTTTCAAACTCTATAGGGAACTCGAATAAAAAAAAATTTAATTACGTAGAAAGTTGTACGAACTCTAGGTATTAAATTAGTGGTGGCAAAGCATACATGAAAGGATTCGGTTGCTTTGTCGACATTTGAACAGTTAATTCTAGACCAACCCTAATTTCTTCTTTCAACACTATGACGAAAGTGAATTATAGGCGTAATATAGCCGTAACAAAATTAATAGTTCGTAATAGTCGTAACGAATTTACAACAACTCAAAACTGAAGCGCTTTTATCTGCAAGCGATTAACAAAATACATTAACAAGCGCTTTATGGCATATTATATGCCCTTGTAACAACTTCCATAACTCCCCCCAAGCCCTCGTTGCTTTATTTCAATTTTAGGTTG